CAGGTCGCGCTGCGGGGGGAGGGCGTGCTGCGCCCCGGGCCTCTCGTTTGCGCTCCAGACGTGGCTGCCTGGTCGCCCGCGCGGGCCTGTCGAGGGCTCCCCGAGGCCGCTGGCCGGATACGCTGCCTGGCGTCTCTTTTTCATCTCTAGGAAAGTCTCTCCAGGAGAAGGGCTGCGCAGCAGGATTGCCTGACGCCGCTCAGAGGGTCTGGGCTGGCGGAGCGGTTTTATTTTGTTACTTTTTCTTTTAACTAAGTTGAAATTTACAGAACATAAAATTAACCATGTTAAAGTGTCCAATTCAGGGGCGCACTGTTCTGTAACCATCACCCCCAAGGAGACCCCAGACCCATTAAGCGATACGTTCGCATTTCCTCAGCCCCAGCACCTGGCAACCACTCCTCTGCTTTCTGTATCTGCATTTGCCTGTTCGGATATTTCACAGAAATGGAATCATACAGTCCGTGGCCTTTGTGTTTGGCTTCGTTCACTCGGCATGTTTTCAAGGTACACAGAGGCGGACAGAACCCAGTAAGTGAATAATTTATTTTGTAAGGATCAGAACAAAGCTGGTTCCCGTGAGGCAGAGGTTAAAGATGTCTCAAACGTCCAGCTTTTCCAAACTGCTGTACCACTCTATCATCTCTAACATCAACTACTCCCCCACCCCTCAGTGTTCTCCCTCCCGTCTTTGGGTTCCATAATTCGATGCAATGTCTCACAGAACTCACGAACCGTACTTAGAGTTCAGTGATTTATTAGGGAAACAACAGGGTACAACTTGGGATCGGGATCAACTTGGGAAATAACAGGAACAACTCAGGACACAGTTCCTCCATCAGAACAGCTTCTTCTCGCCCTCTGCCTCTGGGCCCTGCTGGGGGCTTTCTATGGCCAGGCCCTGCTGTTCTCCTGGGTCTGCTGCCTCTGCCGGTGTCGCTCTTGGTAGTGCTGTGTGACTGTCTCTCATTGTCTTCTGTGTTACAACTCCTCTGTCTTTCTCCCCGCCATATCTCCCTTTAAACCTAGCAGGATGGCAAAACTGACCAATACCCTCATTAGGGTTCCATACACCTTATTTGCGTGGTCCCACTCCCACAAGAAATTGCGAAGAATGGGAGTTCCAGAAAACTTAATTGTGCTCGTGCGACACCTGTACATAGACCAAGAGGCAGTCCTTTGAACAGAACAAGGGGATACTGCGTGGTTTAAAGTCAGGAAAGGTGTGTGCGTCAGGCTTGTATCCTTTCACCATATGTATTCAATCTGTATGCTGAGCAAATAATCTGAGAAGCTGGACTATATGATGAAGAATGGGGCATCAGGATTGGAGGAAGAGTCATTAACAACCTGTAATATGCAGATGGCACAACCTTGCTTGCTGAAAGTGAAGAGGACTTGCGGCACTTTATTATTTTTTATTGTTGTACTTTAAGTGAAAGTTTACAATTTAAGTTAGTCTCCCATACAAAAATTTATACACACATTGTTACGTGACCCTAGTTGCTCTCCCTATACTGTGACAGCACGCTCCTCTTTTCCTCCCCGGATTTCCCGTGTCCATTCAACCAGCTCCTGACCCTCTCTGCCTTCTCATCTCACCTCTGGACAGGAGCTGCCCATTTAGTCTCATGTAGCTACTTGAGCTAAGAAGCACACGCTTCACGAGTATCATCTTATGTCCCACAGTCCAGTCTGATCTTTGTCTGAAGATTTGGCCTCGGGAATGGTTTTAGTTCTGGGCTCATAGAGAATCCGGGGGCCGTGCTTTCCGGGGTTCCTCCAGCCTCAGTCAGACCATTAAGTCTGGTCTTCTTACTAGAATTTGAGTTCTGCACCCCACCTTTCTCCTGCTCCATCAGGGACTGTCTGTTATGTTCCCTGTCAGGGCGGTCATTGGTGGTAGCCAGGCACCATCTAGTTCTTCTGGTCTCAGGCTGATGAAGTCTCTGGTCTATGCGGCCCTTTCCGTCTCTTGGGCTACTACTTTCCTTGTGTCTTCGGTGTTCTTCATTCTCCTTTACTCCAGGTGGTTGGGACCAATTGATGCATCTTAGATGGCCGCTTGCTAGCTTTTAAGACCCCAGACGCCACTCACCAAAGTGGGATGCCGAACATTTTCTTAATAAACTTCGTTATGCCAATTGACCTGGATGTCCCCTGAAACCATGGTCCCCAGACAGACCTCTGCCCCTGCTATTCTGTCCCTCAAAGTGTTTGATTGTATTCAGGAAACTTCTTAGCTTTGGTTTAGTCCAGTTGTGCACTTACAGCACTTTCTGATGAAGATCAACGACTACGGCCTTCAGTATGGATTACACCTGAAAATAAAGAAAACAAAAATCCTCACAACTGGACCAAAAGCAACATCATGATAAACGGAGAATAGATTGAAGTTGTCAAGGATTTCATTTTACTTGGGTCCACAGTCAACACCCATGGAGGCAGCAGTCAGGAAATCAAAAGACACATTGCGTCTGGCAAATGTGCTGCAAAGACCTCTTTAAAGTGTTGAAAAGCAAAGATGTCACTTTAAGGACTAAGGTGCGCCTGACCCAAGCCATGGTGTTTTCAATCTCCTCGGATGCATGTGAAAGCTGGACGATAAATAAGGAAGACCGAGGAAGAACTGATGCCTTTGAATTATGATGTTGGTGAAGAATATTGAGTATACTATGGACGGCCGGAAGAATGAACAAATTTGTCTTGGAAGAAGCACACCCAGAATGCTCCTTATAAGCAAGGATGGCGAGACTATGTCTCACATACTTTGGACATGTTATCAGGAGGGACCAGTCCCTGGAGAAGGACATCATGCTTGGTAAAATAGAGAGTCAGCCCAAAAAAGGAAGAGCCTCAATGAGATGGATTGACACAGTGGCTGCAACAATGGGCTCAAACATAGCAACGATCGTGAGGATGGCGCAGGATCAGGCAGTGTTTTGTTCTGTTGTTCATAGGGTTGCTATGAGTTGGAACCAATTTGCCAGCACCTAACAATAACAATAACCCCTACAATAGTGCCATGCACCTTAGTTACATCATTAGCAAGCTGTACAATCCCCTTGGTGGACCACAAGCACCTCATTTGCACAGCCCCACCCAGTCATTTGGTGGGAGTTACAAAGACTATGGCTAGAAGGGCCGGACTAAGTAATTCACTGCACTGTACCCATGTAGTATGTATCAGTACCTCATTCCTTTTTATGGCTAAAAAAAATATTCCATTGTATGCATAGACCACATTTTGTTTATCCATTCATCTGTTCATAGACATTGGGGTTGTTTCCACTTTGGGGCTATTGTGAATAATGCTGCTATAAACATGTATTTGTCATTTTTAAAGCACGATTTTATTGATTTATAGTTTAGACTTTTCCAACCTTCTGCCCCATCCCCAAATACAACAAGGACCTTCTGCATGGATCTGATCCCGCTGCCCACCCCTCACACCCACTCCAAGGCCCCAGTGTCCCAACAGCTTCCCTTCAGGGTTCCATGCTGCATGGAGATGCCGGGTCTCCAGGCCCCTTCTCTCTGGGACAGTTCTGAGTCCACTCTTGACTTCCAGGGGCAAATCGTCCCTCCCCGGGGTTGGACAGAGCGCTTGAATGAACATGCCTAACTTGGGGCCCGGGCTCTGTCCTCAAGGGTACAGGGGTGCCCAGTCTCACCGTGGGGCTCGCCTACATCTTCCTCACAAGGTGCTTCTGCAGGCACCACGGGGCGGTGGCTTTAGGTTTTAATTTGGGTGCCAGCAATTTCTTGTAACCAGTCATTAAGGGGCTCCTCCTGCTCCGTTGTAGCGACGGCAGACTCTGTCACTCTCCTGTGACTCACAAATCTGTCATCTCCCCACAGCCTGAGCCTGGGAAGATGGGCAGGTGGGG